AATGATATTTGTATTTTTTCTAGCTAGACATATATAACAACTGATAAATATGATTTAATTGACTTTACTACAAGACTTTCACTGGGTTTTTTTTACTATGGGCTTTCACTTTATTAAAAAAGTTTAAAGGGCCCTTGCCATTTGACTGAGTCCGAGAAATACAGTAAAAAATCGATAAAGATATTCATATAAACTTAAAAGTTTGTCGTCCGGGGTGCTTCCAAAATATAACATCAGCGTTATTAAAAAAATATTTGTTTTGTATAGTTAAAACACTTTTAATTTGTTGGTAAATTTCCCATATAGGAAACAAGCTATTACCGTCGTAGGTCTTATAATTAAATATAGACCCGGGATCGTTTTACTTTTTTGTTTTGATGTCCCCAGAGGCCAAAAATACCTTTGGTTTAAATTTCTTATAATTTACATATGTGTCTGTTAGCACCATAACTGGAGTAAAAATCGTCTGATGAAATTGGGTACAAACGTAAAAACCAATATTTATTTATTTAAACGGGTTTTCGCTGATTGGAATATGGGAGCGGGGATTTAAGAGGTAAAAATTTGACTTTCCGATTTTTGACCCCCTTTCTTAACTATTTTGTAGACATTAAAAAATAAATAATCCAGCATATGGAAATGTTGTTTTACCCCTAATGGTCACGGGAAAATATAAATAAACTAAATTTAAAATTCCCATGTTATTTTTATAAATTGTAAACTGTCACATTTTGCTGGTAAGGTATGTATTAGCATTATAATATAATATAGATTTCATTTTATCTTTATGAATTTGTATAATACAAAATAGCAATAGGAAATCATTCCCAAATAAGACTTTCCCCTAGAAATTGATAAGGTTTACTCACCTTTGGCTCGCTGGGGGCAGGGCCCCCAGGCCCCCTTTAGTGTGTAGTGCCTTATTAGATTATTAGATTACTTACTACATCTTTGTAAAATTTCAAGTTTATAGCACGTTTCTAAACAGTTCATATTAGCATACCAATGAACAGTAAGCCACTTTGGAGCTTATTCCTCATAAGATTAATATAGGGGGTTCAAAATTAAAGGCCAGGGGCCTTTGAATTTAATTTAAAGTCATCAGACCACCTAGAAGTGGTCTAGATAGCACTCTCAGCATTTCTCAAGTCTCTATCAAATTTTAAACAGTTAACTCAAGCAATAATGGTGGTTTTTTATACATATGTGAGGGGAGAGTTAAAAAATAAGGATAACGTTAAGATTTAAAGATTTAAAGAGTGTTGAAACTTAGAGGCAACAATCCTGCTTCATGTCAAGTATTTTGCCTCTCTATATAACAGACTAAAATGCTGCTAACACCAAAAGGTTTTCTGAACATTTGGGTTGTAGGAAATACTCCCCCACCGCAGTAAACATATAGCATTCTCAGAATATCTCTTAGCGGTTCCCCTTGATCATAACCAAACCTTTCATTGTAGTATGAATAGCCTCCGGATTGTGAATAATAACTAATAATAGTGGTATAAATACCTGATTCTGCTATTCCAATTGTTGTATTCCACAACTAGTTTCAACCTGCTAAGAGGTCATTATCAGGTGTGTACAAGAAAGACTTCATATGAAGGTCGTCAGGATTAAAAGTTTATAACACACACACATTTTGACGGTTTTTTGGGCTACCTACTACGCCGGTAGCACAGGTCTTTTGAAGCTGCAAACTTGGTTTCTTATTTGTGGTATAGGTCCTACAACATACTAAAAAACTATAACTACTTGACCTTTTGCATGCAAGGCCTCTGTTTAATTTTTATCTTGACTGGACTATATACATATTATTCATCATTAAGTATTTTTGGTGCTAAACGTCCAAATAAGTTAACAGCCTGTATTTTACAGTGGCTAGAAACATTTTTAATTTTTTCTAAGATTAGGTTACCATACAATAATAATGAATTTAAAATAGGTGTTAGGGCTATCAACCCACTATTGTTCAAGTCGCCTCCAGTTCCTTGAGTGGTAGCATGTGTTGGCATTGCTTAACATGAAACCGCTTTAAGTTTTTCCTATCATAACTGCCATAAATGTGGGTTTTGAACAGAAACAAGACCTAATAGCTATGCATGAATTGGTTTTAGGCTAAAATAGTAATAAAATGAATTTTATTATCTCCTTAAAATACAATTAAAACATTGCTTATATACATCATCCATAAGCATATACATTGAATACAGTTCCATAAGAAATTTACCTTCTTGTACATACAGTAGGCCCTTAACCTATCTCGCATTAACCGATAATCGGATTATCTGCCCTTGTTCATAAAATATTACAGTTTGTTTTAACCGACCTTGTTTTGAAAGTAGTTCGGTTTAAACGCCGCTTTTTGGGAATCTCAGCATTTTCGCTCCTATACTCAGGGATCTGAACAATACGCAGTATTAGAGGAGGCTATGACTAAACTCTGCAGGATGTTACAGGCCATAATTAAACATCCTGTCTCGTAACAAAATGGTTGCTTGTATCTTTAACATTGAGAGTAAGTTCTGAACTGTATTCAGATGGATTTGGAAAGCATCAATAATGTTACCAAAGGTATTAAAATAAGAATTTGTATTGACTTCTGCTAACTAAAACTTATTCCACTGAAAGTATTTGACTTTACCGTGTTTTGGGTTTATTTGTGACTTTTCTATCATCAATATTAAGATAAAAAGGAGATAAGTGTAGTTTATTTTGTAAATAGTGCATGCACAACTTCGGAATAATGATTATATAGTTCAAATGAATAGCACTTCATTTTTTTAGTATTTAGGGATTGCCCGTTTTCACCGACCTTTTGAGTTATCCGACCTAAGTCCAATCCCATTAGGGTTGGTTAAGAGGGGGTCTACTGTACCTTCTTGTATATAGGTAAATTCCTACAACAAGGTAAATTTCATTCAGAACGTTCACTGCATTTTATTTTTGTTGAGCTGATGTGCAGTTTGCATATTGCCTTTCGGGTATTCATTGTAGTGGATTGACAAATATCTGTTTTCCACACGGAGCCATATAAGTATTCGATCATTAACACTGGCTGGAAATCCAAGAGTTTTTAGCGAATTTCCCTATAGGGAAGTAGCTATTACCGTAGGTCTCATGGTAAGACCTACGCCCGGGACCGATTTACTTTTTCATTTTGATGTCCCCAGAGGCCAAAAACACCATTCGTTCAAATTTTTATATATCTATATATAGATATATATATATAGAATATATATAGATATATATATATAGATATATAGATAATAGATATATATATATATATATAGATATATATATATATAATTGTATATATATATATGTGTCCATCCGCACGATAACTTGAGTAATTTTTGTCCGATTTTGATAAAATTTGGTTTGAAGGTGTAAGGCGGGATAAACTTGAATGAGTTCGCGAACCAGCATGATCGGACTATGGGAACGGGGGTTTATGGGGGGTTTTATGGGGTAAAAATAGGTTTTTCCCATTTCTGCCCCTAAAAACACAAAATTTCACAATTTCTTTTTAAACCATTTTGTAGAGCTTAAAAAAACAAATAATTTAGTATATTGAAGCGTTATTATGCGCCTAATTGTTACGGAGAAAATTCAAAAAAATTGTAATTTTAAAATTCCCATGTTATTCTTATGGAGAATAAGTCGACTGTTGTAGTTTGCTTGTTTATGAACATATTTTGATCGATTTTGGAAAATACTTTTATTTCTTACTAAACTATTATCATTTTATAAAAAAATCTTTTTTACCCTCCCTGTTGCAGCAAACCTAAGGTACTTGTTAAACTAATTCTATTTAAATAGGAAATAAATGTGCTATTTTTATGGAGGCATTTTAGTGTAAATCCAATCAGGTCAATGGAAATTCGCTTAGTCTGCAGGTTTGCTGCGGCGGGGGTATTTTTTTAATATTAGGTATTTAAAGAAAACTATAATCAAAATAATCATGTATATAAGACCAAAATCATCATTGTTTTCATATTCATCCACTAGCTAATCCAAAATGAATTTATAACTTGCCTTTTTGGCCATCAAAGTTATAAAAACACAAACACTAAAACTTACTAACACTCTAGATAACACGACAATGTAATGGGAACAGCATCGTGTGATGAATTAACTAACAATATGAGTTACTTGGTAGGTAATGTGTAGCTGAGTTGCTGACTAACACTCCTGACATTACGTACTTTCTCATCATCTTCCTTTGACGTTTTTACACATTACCTACACACTTACTCAATTAGTTAGATGACCACTTGAGCTTTAAAAGGTTTTATGTTTTCCCGACAATTTCCCTCTTCTCAGCCTGTCTTTAATATTTCCTCCGGTCCCATCTTCCTCTGTCCCTCTCCATTTTGCCTGTTTGTAGATGTATTGTTGTTTGACCCAAGCTCTTCTTCCTGCTGGGCTTCCTGAAAATATTTTTTTTATGTTTAGTCCTCTTCTCTCCTATTAACATGTCCTGCCATTCTACGTGTCTTGATTTTTTTAAATATCTTTTAATGTTCTTGTCTTGTTTTATTTCCACAAAGTTGTAATTTCTTTTCTTTTTAACCATTGTTTATTCCTATCCAAAGGATTGCCACAAGGTCTTATAATCGTTTTGCTCAAGTTCTTTCTCAATAAGTTTTTACTATCTCAATTCTTGTTTAAGCCACAACATATGTTTCCATTTAGTTTCAACACATAGATCACACTGGTTCTCACCATGCAAGTCAAAGTTAGCACTTATTTCCCAAAGGAAGCGTTTCACTGGCCCCATTATCAATCTTGTTATTGATGTCAAACCCCGTTCAGTGTTATGATTGTTATGAGATCATTTTCCAACTAATTGTTAATAATCATACTAAAGAAAAACACTAAATAACGAATGATCACTGCATGACCCCAGTGTGCGTTAGGTAGCCGAGTAGTCTTAGCATGTAGTTTGTATAAATCCTGAGCACTTTGTAATGTGATATGTTTCCTTGGTTCACTAGTTGTTCAGGATTAAGCCTCTTCAACCGATTGTAAGTACAACTGACCTCTCTGTCGCTTTGTAACATTTTACTTTATAGTTTGCATGATTGAACCACTTGTACGATATAGAGCATGCTTGAAGTAGGTAGTTATTAGCAATAGAAGTTCTGTTGTGGTTACAACATGTATTTTATTGTCAGTTGGGAGGGAATCATTCAATTGCAGTCATAATTAGAGGAATAAATTTACCACTGGTATATGGATAATAAATTATAACAATCCAAAAAGAAAATTAACCGATAATGTTGCTTAATTAAATTAAACTTTTGCTTTTACAAGAGTTATATTGATAGATTTACTTCCTTGATTGTGTGATTACTATTTTGTTTCACCAACTTAGATTTTGTATTACTCTCTTTATTATGTATTGAACTTTCTGGCGGTGTTTTAAACTTGATTATTCCGATTGACATGCTGTGTCTTTCTACTCAGGTAGTTTTGAAACATTAATAACTCTCTAAACTTGTCTGCTTTTCCCAGATAATGAAAACATAGTACAGTAAAACCTCACTAACTAAAAAATTTGTTGAACCAGAGTTTGTCGAGTTATGCAGAACATTGAAATTTGTTAATGGGTTTTAAATAAATGGATACACGACAGACTAATTTTTGGATATAAATCTATAACTTACGTGAGTAAGGCCTATTTTTTTCATATTAAGTAAATAATCTCCATAGAAATGTTGAATATTCAACGATTAAAACTTGAAAAATCAAACACAATAATAAGACAAAGCAAGCTAGATGAGCGCCGAACTGTCAATTTATTGGGTGTCGAGTTAGTGAGGAAAAACCTTAATCGTTTTTTCTGTAAGCATTTTATAGTAATGCAGTAAAAGGAATCCATTAATATATATATGGTCAATGACAAAACATCTGCATATACTATGGATTAACCCTTATGGATTATTCAGATGTATAACTATGACTAATTTTTTTTTTTTTTCTTTCATGAACACAAAACCCAAATTATTTTAAAACAGATTTTGGTAGATATACTCAGTAGGCCTAAACATAAGAAAGTAGCAAAATGCCCGATTTAAGGCGTACAAGGAATCCACCAAGTTGCCCACTCAGGTCTGGCTCTGCCACCAAACTCAGCCAAATGTCCAAGCTTAGTATAGCTTAGGTTTAAATTTTACTCTCAAAGTTGCAGCGCATTTAAGATGTACATTTTAGCTTTCTTGTTGCATACATACAGTTGTTAAGCTTATTTCAACTACTTATTTTGTAGATCTGCAACACTAGTGTCAGTGTCTCACATATAAACCTTTGTAGCTCAAATGGTTAATTAGATTATAAAATGAGTGTCACAAAATGCAATTGTTTCACATTAAATGAGGCGTATACTCGGCCAGAGATGATTTCCAATCAAGGTCTATACTCAGCCAGAGATGATATTCAAACAAGGCATATAAAATCCAGAGATGATTTCCGAATAAGGCATATAATCAGCCAGAGATGATATTCAAAAGAGGCATATAATCAGCCAGAGATGATATTCAAACAAGGCATATACTCAGCCAGAGATGATATTCAAACAAGGCATATACTCAGCCAGAGATGATATTCAAACAAGTCCTATAATCAGCCAGAGATGATTTCCAAACAAGGCATATACTAAGCCAGGGATGATATTCAAACAAGGCATATAATCAGCCAGAGATGATATTCAAACAAGAATCAGCCAGAGATGATATTCAAACAAGGCATATACTCAGCCAGATATGATATTCAAAAGAGGCATATAATCAGCCAGAGATGATATTCAAACAAGGCATAAAATCAGCCAGAGATGATATTCAAACAAGGCATATACTCCGCCAGAGATGGTTTTCAAACAAGGCATATACTCCGCCATAGATGGTTTTCGAACAAAGTATATACTCAGCCAGAGATGGTTTTCAAGTACTTTTCTTCAATACACATGATTATAAGACAAACGAAGAATATTGCATATTTGTGCGTCCTGCATGAGTGTAGTACAGTATTGTGGTTATTTTTAAACCATTTTTTAATAGAGCTCTTGTACCAAAACTAGACAAATGTAATGCATGCTGATTTTGTATATCCGTGTTATTAAAACATTTAACTCCTACAAAAAAATCAGTGTAGGCTATTCTCTAAATGTTTAAACTAAACCATTTTTTTAAGTTTTTTAACTATCACAATTTTTATACTACATGTTCAATGACTTATAGTGGGGTTAAAAAACATTTCAAATACACTTACACTCAGTTCTACCAACATAAATTACACAGAATGTAAAACATCTGTAAAGTTTGTTATTTAATTATCATGAATATTTTATCATGAATATTTATGAATATTTTTATACAACCTATAAGTTAATCTTTATAGCCGCTTTTTTTTTTTAACTAAGCATAACAAGATTACTTAAAATTTTTCTGTTTAGTCAAATTGTAAATTCAAATGTTTAAATGAGCTTTAGGCTATTGTTAAAATATACTTATATGATAAGTAAATTTATGAAAAACGTACAACTTCCGTTTGTGCCTCTAAAAATTTGTTTGCATGACTTATATGTTAAGTTTAATCTAGACACAAAACTGTTACCATCATAAGACACAGTTCAATATGTATAGGCTATAATTTGTATGGTTGTAAAATGTATTTTAATTAAATGTATTAACTTTAAAAAATACTGTCGTATTTTCTAATTATCATTTTACTATTGTAATTAATGAAATTTCATGTTTGTTACATATAGTGCTTCCGCAAAATTTTAATTAAACATAATTCAGTTTGGTATACTCAGATAGGCCTACAGTATTTAAAATCAAATGTTTTTCTCTGTCAGTTACATGATAGTTATTTTCTTTATGAACATTAATCTATTTGTCATAGTCTATGTGATTAATACAACATAGTTTAATTAACTTAATCTTTAGTTTATAAAACTTTGGTCATCATAAGACGACTGGTGTACTATGTGGTTTAGTGTTTGAATTTACTCAGTGTATTGTATTGTTAAAAAGCAGACAAAAATTAACAACAATTTTAATTTGTTAGATTTCTATAATAACTTTTAAAAACTTAAGTTTCATTTCTGACCTCTCATTTATAATAATTAAAGGTAAATTTTTGCTCTTCCGTTATAAAACATAGAATATTAATGAAGTAGTTTTATTATAATGTATAAAAATTACATTTAACAGAAAATAACATTTTGTTTTATTGTTATTTTTAAATCACTCCAGTACTAACACAAAACTCTTATGTAGAAACTATAGCTGTCAAACAAGGTCTTGAAAAATTAGATAAAACATTTGTGTTATAGTTATATTTATGACACTACTTAGTAACTATTGATTAATAGTTCATAAAAATTTATAATCACTAATGTAGGTAAGAGTTTTTAAGGAATATTATGTTAATAACAGTTAAACTATAAATTTTAAATTAATTATTTTGTGCCAAATCATTGTCTTGAAATTAGGAATTAAAAAGTCATGTTTACAACAAATAAATAAAAAAGGTTTAGGAAAAAATAAGTAAACACGTGAAAATGTAAAATAAAAAATAAAATGCCTAGCTCATGTTGAAAAGATTCACTTTACGCCCTAGTGATAAAATATACTATTAGATTAATATTTTGTGTTTCAAAAAATAACCAGCTGTGCTATTTCAGTTGTTTTCCTTTCTTCGAATCTGTGCAGTATTGATTGGGTAGATTGGTAATTCTCAGCTGATACATTTTCCATTTCAGTTATTGTAACACTCGTATGATGCCATCCGAAATGACTGTGCAACGTATCGTAAAGTAATTCTAGACTGTAAGTTAAATAATACGTTTTAAGTAGCAGCTCCTAGTAGATCACTAACAGCTACATTGGTCTTTCTAGATGTAAGGGTCATTCAATAAGTAACAAGACAAATTATTATTACTCAAAACGGTTAATTGAATCAGCACAAAACATTTGTTACTTTCCAACATCCAGCAACACTTGTGCAGTATATGGACGGGCGTTGTCATGAAGCTAAATCACGCCTTCAGCCATGAGCCCACGGTGTTTCGTTCGAATTGCAGGCCTTTGCTTGTTTTTCAGCACGTCACTGTAGTATTGGCTGCTGATTGTTCTTTGGCCTTCTAGAAAATCACAATAATTGGCCACTGAAAATCTTAGAATACTGTAAGCATGACTTTATCAGAAGATTTTTGGGTCTTGATTTTATTGGAATGGGAGTAGTCATATGATTCCACTCAAGGCTCTGTTGCTCTCACTCTGGCTGATAGTGGTGGATCAATGTTTCATCAAACGTAACAATTCTTTTGAAAAAAACCTTGTCCTTCCGTCGAATTTTGATTTTTCAACTGTTGACAGATTTGAAGCCGGGTTTCTTCATCTCGCACAGGTTTTCTCGTACTGCAGCTTGTTATGAATAATGTTATGGACAGTTCCAACACTCGAGTTTACTTTTTCACTTATCAGTTCAACGGTGAAGCCTATTGTCCCGGATTACCGCGCCAATCCGAGATTTGAGAGAGGAAGTTCCAACTTTGATCGGTCGTCGACTGTGTTGCTCGTCAGAAACTATTGGACGACCAGCTTTGAAACTGTTCTACCCACTTCTAAACGTTTGAACGATTCAAACAATTGTCTCCGTACACTTTTAGCATTCTTTTGTGGATTTCACTACCTTTCTCACCTTACGCGACTAAAAATCTGATCACAAGACGTTGTTCTTCCACGGTGCTATTCTTCAGCGGGCTCACAATCATTAACTGAGTAAATTCCAGGTTATGTTTACAATATATGATTGAACAGCTGATAAATGTCACTGCAAGGTTGCAAACTTTATGTCCTGAAAGTTTTGTACTGATTCAATAAATCTTTTTCAAGCAATACATGTTAGTTATTGAATCGCCCTCGTATTTTTTCTCCTAGATCACTAACAGCTATATTGGTCTGTCTAGATATTTGTCCGTGCTCAATTTGATTACGACCCCCTGGAGGATGACCTCATACCATGTGCTCAAGCAGGAATTGCCTTCAAAACAGGAGATATCCTACAAGTAAGTTATGTTTATGTATCACTGTGTCCTTGCTACTGCTTTCAGGACTGTAGTTGTCGTAATAGAAAGGAGAGAATTTGCCATGGATATTCTATGGATGTATTCTACCTGTGGATATTGAAGTAAACATCTCATCCCTTGCGGTAATGCTTTAGCCACTTTCAGAGTGAAAATGAATTAAGTTGAGTTGAGCCACTGGAAGATTGCACAGATAAATTACAGTACTGATTTATTATGTTTATGCAAACTTAACCAAACTAAAAAAGAAAGCATATTTTCATAATCGAGTAAATAAAAAACCAGGCAGTAATAGAGACTATGTTTTAAGTTATTAGTTTCCATTTTAATTTCTCTTTTTTCTTTTCGTGTGACAGCAGTGGCGTATCCTGGGGAGGGTTTTAGGGGTTTAAGCCCCCCCCCCCTTGACTTTAAAACCTGATTCATTCACAATAAAATCTTTTATATGACTCTAAATAGCATCATTTAAGCATCATTTTCTAAATTAACGTGAGTTTACAGTTCTAATTTTCAAAAGTTTCTTCTAAAATCCCCATTTATGAAAGACAGTTAGGCACAGTTGCAAACCATGTGTAAGCTACTGACTTTTCTCAGCATTAAACCAGCAACATGGTTACTGTCAGGCTTGCGCTATAACCACTCATCTATACTGGCTCTTTAGCGAGTACATTCTTTATCACCTGGGCTTAGTCAGTATGAAACCCTGCAAGGCATCATATGTGTCAAACGTTAATAGTAGTTATTATAGTGAAGCTTCTCCATTTATTAAGTAAAAATCATTTCAATGGCATCGGTTTATGTTTCAAAATAGGATTCCTTACCTCTCTCTCTGAATTCCAATTTTTTTCTTTTGTGGTCACCAGTTTTGTTGTGAGGGGAACATTCTCAATGCTTGCAACTTGTCACAATGGATATCAATATATACATGAGACATCGTATGTTTCTTCCTCTCATAGTGATATGTACTTCACCATTTAATAAATCAAAATCCAAACATTGACTATGTAAATATTACTGCTTCCGCTGGTTTTATTATTTATTTATTGAATTTGGTTTGATAGGGCTTTGTTTTTTTTTTTTTTTTTTTTTTTTTTTTGTGATTTGTATTGTGTTTAACATAACTATTATTTTGTTATGATGAGCTAAAAGCTTTGAGAATTGCTATTCAGCTCAATTAAATTGTTGAACGTGTGTACTAAAGACGTAGCCTAGGTAAGGAAACCTATTTTGTGACTAAGCAGTATAGGTATATAAAATGGATTTTTTCCTATATTTTATGAAATTTTTCCAGGTAATATTGTAAAAATGGAAACTTTTCAATAATTTTGCAATAGGGTTGATAAAAATTAAAATTTCATAATTTTTTGCAGATTATTAGCAAGGACGACCACAACTGGTGGCAGGCGAGGAAGGACAACGCGGCCGGCTCCGCTGGACTCATCCCCTCACCCGAGCTGCAGGAGTGGCGGACTGCGTGCGTCGCGCTCGAGAAGAGCAAAAACGAACAAGGTACGACATGTCCGAACACGCATACACATGCCTGCACTGTCTGACCGTGCATGCTACTGTCCAAGCGCACTTCCACAATACAAACATCAATTGATACCTGTTAACAATGGTCAATGCTAAGTGTTGTTCTTGAAAGTATTTACGTAACATAACTGGATAAAGCTTTGGGTTTGGAGTTTCATTCAATTTAGCTTGACTGATGCTTTTCAATGTGATTTGAAATGCGTTCATAAGTATGATTGTCAAATTGTTACTGGTAATTTTACTGCGGGTTATTAACCTTAAAGAATTGAACATGTGTTTTTTTTTTATATATTTTCGTATACAATGTTTGTTTTATTCCTTTTTAAGTCATAAAGGGATTGTTTAAAACCAAATTAATTTGTGGTAATATTACGCTAGCGATTTTTTTTTGTTTTTAAATTAGTTTTTTGTAAATTTCTGGAATCTGTTCATCCAACAATACAAAACAAGTTGAATGAATTAAAATTTTTTTATTTTATAACATTAGTTCAAATTTTTATGTTGTCTTCCATACATAAAGTAATCTTAAAATACATTTATGTAGTTTCAACTCTCAAAATCGACAAAGCAAACATGAACTTTAAACATCAGTTTACACAATAGATTTCTTTTGAAGTAGTGTTTTAGATTCTAGTCCTCAAAGTAGTCTCTTTATTTTACTTTGTGTCAAATTGTAAGTAAAGATTGTGTTCCAATACTAGTGAATAACTTAGTACGATTACATTGTGTAAATGTTACATGACAATGTTGATATCATTCCAATAAACCATAAATCAACGTAACTTTATCCTACTGTAGTTGTGTTTGTAAAGGTGTTTAATATTTAAAGTGGTGATGGTAGACAAAAGCTTAGGTTCTTATAATGTTTTACTTTGGTGATAATATCTTGCACTCCTTGTTCTTATTGGAGAGCTGATTTTGACTATTTTTTATAAAAAATAATAAATTAAATGGTAGAGAGTTTTGGAAGAGTCTTACTGTTGGGCCACTGGGGATTCCAAGCACATATCGGTTGGGGAATTAGGATAGCAATCCGAAGTTTCTTACATAAGAAGTGGCAAAGGGAGAAATCAGCTTGCTATGTAATAATATTTCACTATCCAGGCACTGAATGTTCTGTGTAGAGCTTTGGTAGTAAAACTTTTCTTTGGAGGCAGTGGAACTAAAGAAAGGTGTAACCATAAAGGCTTAAGTATGTAACTGGTCAACATTGTTAGGAAAATACTAGAGATCTACAATTTGAAACAGCCTGAGAATGTACAATAATTAGTCGTCCTAGCTATCAGGAGAAGAATACCTGAACTATCTGTTGGCAAGATGGTAGTTAAGATGTCTTGGTCCTCAATTAAATTTTATTCAGCTTATTTTGGGTTACATATTTTCCCTTATAATTATGAAAGGATTCTTGCAAGGTGTGTGTGTCAGCCAATGAACTTAAGTATGTATTTATATCAAAAAAAGAATTACATGACTCGAAAAACTCATAATTTTTTTATTGGTCACATAGAAGGAATTATTCTTGGAGGAAAAAAATAAACAAAATCAAAACTTGTGTATCTGTGGAATAGTCAGAACTGATAACCAAGCAGTGTTAAAAATTAGTCTAGTAAAAGATTGTACTTTTATTGATCAGATTTTGAAACTTATTTATAACATTTGGGGGAAAAAATTAGGACTCACTATAAAGGTGGCATTAAACGGTATTTCTATTTACACGTTCAGTGCTGACTACATCAATTGACGTAGTCGCGCCACGAGCGCTCCTATCGGCCTACATCAATTGATGTAGTTGCACAATCCCCACTACATTAGTTCAGTATGATCCCAGCCATTGCCGGGGAACGTTAAAACCGTTGCTAGCCTGTAGCTTAGAATGTGAGCTTTATTTTGGTGTAGGTTGGTACTAAAATTTTCCGTAAAATCCCGTCTGACAATGCTTTTGTCTCGGTTTCGGGGATTTTCTCTCTTCAAGCCCTATTACAAGGCCACTGACTACTGATCCAGGCAGTGCTGCTACCTTTGGGTGTTTTAGGGAACTATCTCCAATCTCGGGGTAACGTAGTACAATCACCGCTGCTCTTTTGTTATTCATCAGATTGAAATATTTGAATGCCAATTGCGGTTGCTGTTAACGGTGCCGCGCTGGGGCTTCGTCCGGGCCTCGCCACCATTGGCGGGCGCCTGTTCGAATGCCTGCTGCACTGAACGTGTTAAGGATGTTCAAGTTCACTCTTATTGGAACAAAATCTCTCGTCTGATATGGCTGAAAATGTTCATTGTTATTTAATGCTCAATCCACCTCTTAAACAAATTTACCTTGAGCTAAAGAAAAGTGTTGTTTATTATTGCAATTAAAATATTATAACTACTTGTTTCAACTCGAGATATCAACTATTTTTTATCAAATCAGAAACTATTTTAACTGACCATCTTCAACACCGTATTTTTTGCTCTTTATACCTGAAATGAGATAAATTATTTCAAATTTCCTTAGTATACTTAGTAGATCCAAAAAATAAATAGAAGAAAGCCATTAAAAATAAAGAAAGCCATTTAAATCTGTGTTTACCTTCTTAACAAATTGGCCAACTTAAACCATTTTCCAAAAAAAGCTAATATTATTAGATTGTAACACTAGTATTCTTAAAGGAGGTCAACATTAATTTCTAAAATTATAGATTGTAAGATTAAAAAATCATTTTGGAACATTAAGTTCAGTTTGTTTTTAAAACAAAAAATGGTAACTCAATCAAAGTAGTATACATTTATACATTTCTGACCTCTACTGTATATCTCTTATTATTACATCACTAAGCACAATTTGATAGGTTAATCCATCTTGGAATAGTTTTGTCATGAAATTTAAGTTGTGTATGAAATTTAAATTTTTTAATTCTTGAAACAAACCTTTCAACTTAAATATAGCGACCAAGAAACACTGTTTTCTTTCTGGGAAATTAATTACACAAAGTATGGTCAGTTGAAATTGGATCCTGTTCAAAAACTGTCACAAAAATATGTTCAAAGATCTGTTTCATAAAAGTATAATTTATCAATTATTTCAGTGTATTCTTCATGGACAGGTTTTACAAAAGTAAATATGTGTTATTTACTATTTTTCAGCTCTATTTAGAGGCCTGAAAGGTAAGAGTAGGCTTCAAAGCACAACTTTTCTAGGAAAGTAAGATACAATTCTTGTTATTGATGAAACTTAGATTTGCTAAGCGCTATTTTTGAAGCTGTTAGGTTTTGTAAATGCAGGGAATCTTATCTATTAGTCAGATCATTGTAGAATATGAAACTAAAATCCTTCACTCTATGAAGTGCTATAAGATATTACCATTGACCATTATATTACTTAATGTAGGGAATAGTAAGATAATAATGTTTTAACAATATTTTAATCGTTTTTTGCTAGGTAGGCAGTAAGTTTTTTTAGAAACATATAAATAACTCAATGATTAAGACAACCAACCATAACAAATACTCCCATGGTCAGATACGTAAAATGTAGATTTTTAAATATAAGTATGTAATCAAAGTAAATTATAAGTAAATTTGTTTTTTCGTTGCAAATTCCCTACTCTTTTTGGGAAGATCCATCTACTTCAACTGTATTTCGTGGAGCTTTGGTTAAACTAGGGACAGAATTAACTGAATACTCAAGTTGAAGTTAAATCCAAAGTTATAAACAACTCATGGATCGCTGGCTCAGTGTTGGCCGCGTGGTATAGCTTCCCCCACTCCCGATAAACAACTCATCGATTGCTGGCTCAGTGTTGGTCGCGTAGTATAGTTTCCCCCACTCCCGATAAACAACTCATGGATTGCTGGCTCAGTGTTGGTCGCGTGGTATAGTTTCCCCCACTCCCGATAAACAACTCATGGATTGCTGGCTAAATGTTGGCCGGGTGGTATAGCTTCTGCTCCACCATTTCCCATTAAACAACTCATGGATCGCTAGCTCAGTGTTGGCTGTGCGGTATGCCGACGCACCCATACACTCACCATTATAAACCACACATTTTTATTTGCTGCTCTGTTGAAATATATTGGGTTAAAATATTGCTAACGCATGCCAAACTCGCTTTATTAAACAAAACTTTGTCTGTTGTGTTTCTTGCAGAAAATAACCTATTTGAACTGTTTAAAACTGCACATTCACTAAATTTGATTTTAGATGTTTTCATACAACTGATATTGCTCGTTCCAAATTTAACATGATAAAATAATAAGTAATTGCAAAAAAATGATAGAAAGAACAATATTTGTAATTACAAACCTATTGTGTTAAACTAAAACATATTACATATTGAACATTTCTGAAGAGAATAATTTTGCTTTTGCCTCAGACATATGTTTGACGTAAGCACGATACTTTCTTCATTCACTGTGTGATGACTGTATCTTACAAAATAGGTTACAAAACAGCAAAAGAAATAAGTATCCTGTTAATGTCAAACATAGATCTGAGGCAAAAACTGAACAAAATTATTCTATTCTGAAATGTTTTAATGTGTATGTTTTTGTTTAATGATGGGTTTGAAATTACAAATATTGTATTTTCTATCCTTTCTTTGCCAATACTGATTATTTTGCCACGTATAATTTTGGAGCTACATTAGCAAAATCAGTTGGCTAAACACATTTAAATTCAAATGTGTCGGATTAAAAAGTTAAAATTTGTTTTTTTTTTGCAAGAAACCAAACAGACATAAGGTTTGGAATAGTAAACAGAGTTTGACATGCGTTAGCAATATTTTATCTCTATATATTTCAACAGAGCAGCAACTAAAAAGCAGTGTTTTATAATGGTGAGTGTATGGGCTTCTACCAGTCGGGAGTGGGGGAGCTAGACAGTGTGTGCAGTGCCACTGAGATCTCAATCCTGTAGTTCTTTACACCGTTGGTTAAATCCTGGGTATTACATGACATCATAAAGTCATAAGTTAATGGAATATTCTCTGCATAGCTATAAAATATTAAAATAAAATAGATTTTTTCTTTTTCCCAATAATTACAATAACATTTTTAAATACTCAAATTCCCTCTAGATTTGGGTGGCTAAATAATATCTTTTTTATGTTTGTTTGATTCTGATTTTAGAAAAAATTTAAATGTTAAAGTAACGGTTGGGTTCAATTAAAATTTGGTTTTGTGTTCAAAGCTGTACAGATAATATATTTTTCCCTTCTATACACACTTATAAATATGGGTGAGGTTCATAATGTCCAAATTTCACAAACTCCAACGTCTAAAATATTAAATAAACAGTGCGTTTCATAACCTCCAAATTTCATAAACTCCAAAACTATAACTTTCAAATAATCACCGATTCACAATGTCCAAATTTCACAAACTCCAACGTTTAAATATCAAATAAACAGAGCGGTTCATAACCTCCAAGTTTCATAAGCTCCAACGGTACAGTCTCTGCCAGAAGTCGCTGCAGAGGTTGCCGTGGTTCGGTATGTAGGCGCTACACGTTCTACTGTTGTAGCGGTGTAAAACGAAGTATCATTGTTGCTCCGTAATTGCTTTCTTAAGAGTATAAGTATATATTCTTAAGAGTTCCCATAGTCCGATCATGCTGGTTCGCGAACTCGTTCGAATAAACGTAGGTTTACACGTTTGTACCAAATTTCATCAAAATCGGATGATTTTTGCTCAAGTTATCAAGCTAACGGACACACATATAAATATATATATAACTGATGGTGTTTTTGGTCTCTAGGGACCTCAAAACGAAAAAGTAAATCGGTCCCGGGACCAGGTCTTACCATGAGTACTACGGTAATAGCTTATTCCCTATAGGGGAAATTCGCTAAAATATAAATTTGATTTGCACATTGTGTGCTAACACATATTTGAGTCACACATCTAAGTGTTCTTCAATCATTAAAATGTACGTATAATCAGTAGTTGAGCGCTGGCGAATGGTGCCTGCTATCTGACTGTGGCAACCACTAGAGAGACTTCTGGCCCAGACTGTACCGTTGGAGGTTATGAAATTTGGACATTATGAACCGCTCTGTTTATTTAATATTTAAACGTTGGAGTTTGTGAAACTTGGACATTGTGAAACAGTGATTATTTGAAGGTTATAGATTTGGAGCTTATGAAATTTGGAGGTTATGAACCGCTCTGTTTATTTAATATTTTAAGCGTTGGAGTTTGTGAAATTTGGAGTTTATGAAACGCTCCCATAAATATTGTACTTGCCATTTTTATGATCTAAAATAAGCCCTGCTTATTAGGGCCAAATTTTATTTTATAACCATTTTTATACCTTTTATGATTCTTAATCAATGTAAGTACTGATCTTAAAGTTATCAAGTATTTCATGTAGTCAGAGAAATACAGGATATGGCCTTAAAAAATTGCAAGAAAACGTTTTATGGTTTTATTTTGTTGGGTTGAGTGTGCAGAGTGACATACTTAAAGTTGCTAAAAATCGTCCTCAGGAAACCCCCTAAAATCACTATTAAAAATGGCAGATTTTCCCAACATTGGACAAATTATGAAAAAAATACCACATGCATTTTGTATTCAAATTGTTTTGAGATATTGACTTGGGACGGCCCCCGATGTTTATTGGGTGGTCAGTACTTAATTTTGATAGGGAACTCATTTTTGGCCGACATCTAGGATCCGCCGTATTAGATATAAATTAAAACCATTTTATGTAATGTTGTGACACATCATTATAAACTAGATTTTCATGCTGATTTCAATGCGGAAATCCGTTTTTAAATATCCGATTAATTATTAGTGGATGCACACATTCCCCACATTTAAACCAAGGCACATGGTTTTGAGCACCAGACCTTAACTTTTAGCACTTTTCTCCTACAAACTTTGTCTCGTTTCTCTGAGCTCACCCACTAAACAATACATTTTTCATTCAGTCTTTTTTTTTCAAAAGTAATGCAAGAACACTTATTTTATAGCCACAATGTACAGGAAATGCAATATTACATTCAACACACACTATCCATCTAGCCAACTTCAATCTAAAGGTTAAAAATGCCTTTATATACATACATATGATAGTAAAGTAAAATCCTGCTTTTTTTCCTTTTTTTAGTTAGAAAAGTGGTTTAAATCTAAAGACTCATTTTGAAACCGGACACCATGTTGTTCAAAATAATCCTAAGCTGGATGTAGTTTGCATGAAAATGAATACACAGACCCTAAACAACAAAGATAAATGTTACCTTCTAAAATGTGTATTAAAATTATTTGTCCAATTCAAACAAATGTTTTCTGGTGAGAGTTAAATTTTGTGTTACCTTTAAAGTGTAGTTATGAAGAGGAATTTGTCTTAACTTTGTGTTAGTTAAAAAATTTCTTTACATTTCAAGCTTTGTAAATTTTAACTTCAGGTGTATTCAACTTTTTATTTATTTTTTGCAACCAATTTCCCCAAAAAAATCCCAATATTATGGAAATAATTGTCGAGGTTTTGAATTCATAGCATAAAGTAGCTTTTGCGTAGTAGTAGAGCGTTGCAGTAGCATAGTTTTGTAGGATGGTATCAAGTTGTATGTCATAATGATCCTCGTTTAGATGGTGACATTGATCCCGGATGTTCTTCCCATACGGAAGGATGCGACGGGACTACAGGTAGGCGTCATTCCCGGACAATCCCGGAATCATTGGCTCGTACGCTAGTCTAGTGATCCCGGATATATTTGCTGCTTGGTTATGATATTTTTTGCATTTTGTGTAAAAGCATTTGTTGAGTAGAGTATGAATCGACATTTTTTTCATAGAATGAACTTGCAAAAATGTTTGCTATGACACTTGTTAGTTTTTTATAAGTTTTATTTTTTGCCTATATTTGTGTTTAAATCAATAAACTTCGTAAAATTCTAAAATTATTATTAGTACTAAATTTTAAATGGCTTAAGTGAAAATTGCAAGTCTTATATTTATTTATTAAGTTGGATGTCAAAGTTTACTTGTTATCAATGCATTTTAAAACTTTTTAGTTTTTTTACCACATTCTTAACTTAAATAGATAGAACACAATGAGATTTAGTGGAATAGTATATTTCGTACCTAGGATGAGGTTTTGACGGCTTGTTTTTAAGTTTGAGACGAAGTCAAGAACTGAAAACTATCGAGAGCTGCAAAACCATTTCTGTCTGTGTTACGAACGCTATTTTTCACCACACTTTACCCTATTACCACTTTATTCACCACAATATTAATTTACACTGATAGTCAACACAACTATAACATTAAGGTTATGTGAAGAAATAATTTGAGGAATCAGCAAAAATAATAATAAATAGTTGCTAGGCAGCGGTGACAATAAAACAATTATACTGCAATGCTATGGATACTGATTGTGTATTTAATATGCATTCATGAAGGTAAGCGGATAGCTGAATTTTGGGATGAAAATACCTGCCAATGACAATGACAGCTGGCATGGCCATCAAAACGTAACTTTCAGCCACCAATTAACGTATGTAAAACAGCTAAAAACATCATAGTGTGGTGAAAATTAGCATTTTGTATTTTATTTAATAGATAAATCTGTTTTCGTCATACTGCAGAAAAAACAGCCATTTTATTTAATACATGCGTTGCAGGTCTAAATTAGTATTTTTACTCCCTAGGGAGTAAAAATCAGCTGTTGTTAACAGTTGTAAATTTCGATTGTAAGCAATCCCATGGATCTAAATTATTTATCGATTGATTTATTAGGTTAGGTTTTAGCTTATAGCTGCATTCTTGTTAATAGTTCGACATATCGATGGTATAATGTAGGCCTACATGAAAACCATGGTTACATGAAATATGGTTATTTCATTTATCAGAATAATTTAAACAATCTTGAAGTCGTTTTGAGAGGTTATCTCTACAAGAACAGTATTTTCGTTTTCTAGCTAAGTTTGTTAATTAATGATGCAATATGGCAATTAATATAATTAATAACACAGGCATAAGCGTATTTTTAACCCTCACTCATTTTCCTAGTGAAACTTGAGCTCGGGTCAATAAGAGTTACTTTACGCTCTGAAAATTAACTTAACACTTTTTAAGGATTTATTTTGCTTTTTTAAGGAATATCATTGTTTTAATGGAATCAATCTATTTTTACTCAATGTAAAAAGAGTACATAGTAGAACATGTTTATTTAATCTTCTTAAGGTTAGTGAAAAAATTGTTTTAAAAGGTCAACTGCAATGTTTTTTCATCAGCCTTTTTTTAATTTCTGTTCAGATGTACAAATACTACAAATAAAAATGCTGTTCTTTGAATTTGTGTTAACAAAGGAGTTTAATTTAAAATTTGAATGTTGAAAAAGTGTTATTTAAATAAATACTCACATTATGCTCACAGATTGTTTTATGTACCTACTGTATATTGGCTTGTATGTTTGACCTCAACTCTGAATGCTTTTGAGATCTCTACCTTTACACAAATTTTTAATTACTAAATAATGCATACGAGAATAACTAATTCTTTAATTAATACTCTATGCACAGAAAAAACTATAAACTATTGCACTTACTCAAATGTTTGTGTTTTAAATTATCATGATAAACTTTGTGACTGTAACTTTGAGATTTCCTTTAGCACTCCACTATTAGCATGTAGTGCCTGTTAAACATTTTCACTCAGATGTTTCAAAGTTTGCAGAAAACCTTCCTACTAAAAATATTTGTATTCACATTGTAAATACAGCACAGACATTTTTGAACATATTGCTTACTAGGTTTGGCAATATCAGTTGCATTATATCTCATAAATTAGTTATACATTTGGATTATTTAGGGCTTATGAAATTCTTTTAACCACTGTTGTGGGTTTAAAGTTTATATTTTTTCGGTTTACTAATTTTTTTATTTGCTCTATTCTTAGCTTTTTTAGCAGCATTATAATTTCCTCAAATAATATAGCATCATCAACACTCTAAACAATGTATAGAAGTGTAAGATCACATAACTAATTTTTTTTAGACCGAAATTTTTATTTTTATTTTAATTTATTGAAATTTAATATTTTTTATGTGAGATTCAAAGGAGGTCATGCAGCAAATATGTCCTGTAGACTGAGTTTTTGAGCCTCCATATAAATATTATTTGATCACTCTCAGTAAACTGTTTGAAACACCTTTTTCTTTAAGTTTTGAAGCCATTTTGATTCTTTAAAAAACTTGTGCCAGATTTTATGATAAATGTAATGTACGACCTTTGACTATTTTGATGCAACTATACATTCCATTCCCATGTTAAAGTTGTCGCCGGTTTTTTAATCAAAATCGTGGTAGTTGATGTGAGCCACTGACAGAGTGTGCTGATGTAAATTACTGAATTTTGTCAAATACACAAACATTTTTACCAATTCAATCTTATGGAACGACTTATTATGAGACATAAATTGTCATAGTAACTGTTTATGACCATCAACTATGTCAACACCCCAAGAGATAATGTAGAAGGTAGAATTTTAGACATGTAATAGCACATTCTGTGAATGGCTCATAGAACTTATAGTTCTTTTTTTATAAAAAAAAAGGCGACTGCTGTACCTAAGCTTTTTAAATCAATATTACAAGACATCAACCTGTGTTTGTTCCAAGGGAATATGTAGATCATATGTAGGCACATGTGGTCTTACTGTATTTTTTCTTTCATTTCATGGACAAAACTCATTTAAAAATAATTAATTAATACGCAGACACAATGTTTTCAGTCAATTGCTCAATCTTTGGCCGTAAGAAGAAACAATACAAGGACAAGTATTTAGCAAAACACAACGCAGTGTTCGACCAGCTAGATCTTGTCACTTATGAAGAAGTTGTCAAGCTTCCATGTAAGTATTGTTGGCTATCCTGTGAAGTGGATAACAATACTAAAGCTTTGTGATAAAGTTTAAATTAGTCTTGGGAACGTAAAGGGTCAGTGGAGATGATGTTAAAGATTTTGGAACCCCAGCAAAAATCTTTTTTGGGTACCAATTTAAGCTATCTGTATACATGGAAATATGTGATTACGATTCGGAAATTTACAGCATCATAAAAGATTAACTTGAAGTTAACCCATCTCATATGGACACTGAGCACTTAGCTCACTCAATAGTTTTGCAGTTGTTTTTACAATAAACATTGAAGGGTGTGCACAAAATTTCAACAGACACTGATTATAGGGATGCAAACATCACACATTACATAAGTATGGTGTCAATGAGCAATGACAACCAATACACTATCTAGTTTTTATCAAGAATTGCCTTTTAAAGGTCAAAGTTGAAATCTTTACAAGGTCTTCCAGTAAGTTTCAAAGTCTGTGAATGCCTTATCGCCATTGGTTGAAGGTTTGTTTGTTGCCATACAAACAATTTTATCGTGGATTTCTTCCTATAATACTGTATTGGTTATTTATTTCAACAATGTTTCTACAGTATCTATAAATCTTGGTCTTTGGTAGATGACTGTGTCATTTAACTGCCGAAAACGGTGGCCGACGTCCAAGACGCAGCAATTTTTCTTTGGGGCAAACTGTGATTTTCCTGAAGAGGAATTGCAACAAATCCGAAACCTCGTCCACTATCCTTGCCAATTCAATAACACGATAGTCTACTTTCATTTTGGAAGCATCAAAATTAACATTGATCTATTTATAAAGGAATTTGTTGAGTGTTGTACTAATGTTCAATGTTTTTATTGTTCAAGCATTTATGAGGAAGACTCTAGTCCTGCTAGGAGCACACGGTGTTGGCAGAAGACATATAAAAAATACGTTGATAGCCAAACACCCCGACAAATACGCCTACCCCATTCCTCGTAAGTAGTTATACAAGTTAAGTTTGCAATATTATTACTTATGGTTAACCCTCGTAATGCTGATGTTGCTCACAACAACGATGTAGTTATTGGCTTCAGTGCGAGCGCTGATGTAATCGAATCTTTGTATTTCATATAGTATGGAACAATGCCAATGGCTTAGTGGCTGGTTATGGTCATTTCAGTCTGAAAGCTTCAAATTTTCGATCACTGGTTCATTTCACTCTAGTGGCCAACTGTATTACATTTTATTCTTTGTTTTATTTTGTTACTACGCTGACAATGAGTGTTACATTTTTTGTTTTTTTGTGTTATTGTTTGTTTTAATCAGATATTAGTTCTTTATCTCATAGGGTTTATTTTAGTTGTGAATTTTCAAGTCTTAGTGTTTTTAGGATATATTGCCAATAAGATCAGAACTGTAGACTATGTTGTAAGCTGTAGACTATGGAATAAAGTGCCGTGCCACTAAAAGAGTGAAAGTTGTAGATGAGCCCATTTGTTTTGTTACTTACTACTGTAGTTACTTATGTGAAGTCATCTAGGTGCAACATGAATTATTGCCAAACTATATTATTTAGCAAATGTTAAGATTATATCTATAATCACTGATTTCTCTAGGTTTATCAAGTTAAAAGTTAAATTCTTATTGAATTAAAATCACAGTAATAATACTGTTTACAGGTTAGGCCGCCATCTCTTAATTTATTTTATAATTTATTTTTTACTTAATAACAGAATGGGTAAGATAAGAATATAGAAATAACTGCCGACAGCAGTATTGTTTGTTCTAAATAATCATAATTTTTCACTTATACAGGAGGGTACATAACTGTATGGGTGTAAAACACTAGCACCACCAATCAAAATTTGAGTGACTACTGGCTGTCACTGTACTGGATGTGTTTGGCTGTCTTTAAATTACCTACAATTAAAAAAGGGAAACTTGGTTGTAATCATAATTTTCTTTCATTTACGGCACCGGTATCTAGAGAGCCTTATGGTTTATAGTTTTGCCTGATTCTTGTAGGAAACATCGTTAGTTTATTGTAGATTTTAATTTGTGACCCTTTAAAGGATAGTATAACAATAAACTTATAAAACAGTGGTATCTGATAAAGTAGCTGTACTGAAGATCTGTCTTAACGTTTATTATTTTCCAAGCTCTGTCCAAAGATACATTTTGTTTACAGACACGACACGACCTCCTCGTGCTGATGAAGAAAACGGCAGAAATTATTACTTTGTGTCTCACGATGAAATGATGGCAGACATTGCAGCCAACGAATACTTAGAATACGGTAGGTCTTAATGTGTCCAGGAACTTTTGTTGGAAGGAAAAGTAAAACCACAAATTTTAATTGGTTTTGCAACATTTTGTGAGATTAGTTGTGGCCATGTGGTCTCAACCAATGATTGATTTGCTGATTCATAAGCAATGAAAAATGCTACTATAGTCTAAATAATTGTCAGAAATAAGCTACTTTTATTCAACAGCCACTTCTTGGATGATGATTTACTAAATCTTGGGGAACAGTATTTTTGCCACAAAAACTCTTTTGCCAGATAAAGGTTTGCTGCTATCACAGAAAGAAAAGTGCCAGAAAAACCTTGAGCAATTTAAATTTTGTATGTGTCAGCACTACGTAAGTGTAGCACTTAGTAGTAAATGTTTGAAAGCTGAATGATTTTAGCGCTTAGCTAACAGGCAGAAAGTTGAACAACCTTGAAAAAACAATTGTTTGCTGTTTTAAAACTGGACCCAGCTGAACAGGGAAAATAAGTTTAAAAATACCCCCGCCGCAGCAAACCTGCTGACTAAGGTGAAGGAAGTAGTCAAGGTGAGCTGTCCGGAGTATGGGAACTGTTTATGATGATTAGATTAAGGGATCTGCAATCCTAAAATGCTATGGGAAGGGAGGAAAACAGGTCAGAGACGTAGGAAGAGGTGAAGGAAGTAGTAAGGTGAGCAGTGTGGAGTGTGCGAACTGGAAACCTTTTGTAGCAGTTAGATTAATGTATCTGCAATGCTGAAATGCTATGAGAAGGGATGGAAGCATGCCCACGACCACAGAAAACATACTACTATAACCCAGAATGCCAACCGCGTGGTAAAAAGCATTAAGTGTTTTGAGAGAGCTTTGCCTGTCAATCGTAGGCAGCGCCACCAGCGTTGCTATGCTGAGTGCATGGCAACGCTGGTGGCGCTGCCTACGATTGACAGGCAAAGCTCTCTCAAAACACTTAATGCTTTTTACCACGCGGTTGGCATTCTGGGTTATAGTAATATGTTTTCTGTGCCACGACATAGGAAATGGTGAAAGAAGTAGTAAAAGCTAGCAGTGCGGAGTGTGGGGAATAATTGTGGCAGTTACATTAACGTATCTAAAATACTAAAATGCTATATAAAGTGATGAAAACAGGTCAACGTCGTAGGAAGTGGCTTAGGAAGTAGTAAAGTATGACGACTGTTTTTACTGCAGTATGACAAAAACAATATTATATGTACCCTTGATGACTCCGCTCAATTTTGTGGATGCCTTTGCGAACGCCACCTAGTAAATTTACTTGTTTGTAATGTTTAAACAGAGCAAGTGAATTATTGGGAAAACTAGGATACCTACTTTATATAGACAAGATTTCAGATTTTACTAGTTTGTGGTTTGAGGGATACATGAGGACCAGACTATACTGGGAAGGATTTCTAGACATAACACATGACTGGGGCAAGTGTCATTACTGGACCAATGGAATATGAAATACTGTATTTTGGGCATTTTGGCTATTAACAGATAGAGCTATATCTTCAGTACACAAGTTCCATTTTTAAACCTTAGGGTCAGAATTACATTAACAAAAAATAATCATTGTAAAAACGTAGACTTATTAATTCACCCCACTTAATTTGTTTAGTTATTTTGTGATTGTATTGTGAATTAACCTTACTCTGATATACATCTACAGGGACGCATGAAGAAGCGATGTACGGCACAAAATTGGAGACCATTCGTAAAATTCACCAAGAAGGCAAAGTTGCAATCCTGGATGTGGAGCCCCAAGCTCTCAAAGTGCTGAGAACAGCGGAGTTTGCCCCCTACGTTGTCTTCATTGCAGCTCCACTACTTCAAAATTTAGCTGATGTAAGGTTTAATTATAAAAATAAACCTATCTATTATTAAGTGTCTTTTAGGTGTCAAATATGAAAGATGTAGAGGCATAGTTAAACAAAAAAGCAGATAGGTTAATTGATTGTAACAACAACTTCTTCAAAAATTATTTTACTTAAAAAGTAGTTGCTCAAAAGTCAAGTTTCTTTACTTGGTTTTTTTTCTGTACTAAAGTAATGTTCAGGGGCAAACTATTTCAATTCGTTTTCTGAAGATATGCACTTATTTTAAATCATGTACATTAAAAAACGACAAAATATCTACTACTAATGAGTTTATACAACTTACACTGTTGTACACATATCAATGCAAAAACATTCTTCTACATGTGTTCATTTAAGATTAATTTAGTCATAATTGTATGAAGAATTGAAATATGTAGATGATTATAAAAACTCCACCAAAGATCTTGTATTATTTATAACTAAATCTGAATGTTTCCAAAATTCAAAAACACAAACCATGGATGCCATAGAAAGGATTGCTTATCAACCATTCACATAATTTAGATTTGAATATCTTGAAGGATACAGTTCTGGCTTAATCAGACAATTTATTAAAAAAATTAATGCAGTTTAGTCTATGACTATTGTTACTTTTTTTAAGTCTATGAGCCGTTATTTCTAACTGTAGTTTATTCCTTGTATTATGAGGATGAAAGTTTTGTCTTATATTAAATTTATGTGGGTTAATTTTTGTATACTGCATAATTTGATATATGTATGAATTAATTATTGTCATAATTCTAAGCCTGATGAAAAGAGGTCTGCAGTGATCCACAATGTAGTTTAAAACATACGTATTAAATTAAGTAAACATAAACAAATTTGGCAGAAAATCTATGTCTATGTTTTGAAAGGGCTCAACATTTGTATCTTGGTGTTACAGTATGATGGGAGCTTAGAGCGATTAGCCAAAGAATCAGACTTGTTGAGACAAGCCTACGGACACTTCTTCGACCTGACAATTGTCAACAATGACATCGAGGAGACCATCTCTGCGTTAGAAAGAGCTATCGAGAGAGTTCACACTACGGCGCAGTGGGTTCCAGTGTCCTGGGTCTACTGAACTCCACACACGGCGCAGTGGCTCTCAGTGTCCTGGGCATTCTGAAACTAACACACGGCGCAGTGGGTTCCAGTGTCCTGGGTCTACTGAACTCCACACACGGCGCAGTGGCTCTCAGTGTCCTGGGCATACTGAAACTAACACACGGCGCAGTGGGTCCCTGTTTCATGGGTCTGTTGAACTCACCAGGGTTATCCCTACCTTGTGATACTTAAAACCGATCAGTAGCAGTTGCTCATACAGAAAACAAATTAAATTGATTTGTCTAACCCACATAAACTTACTACTAGTTTCAACACTATTAAATATTAGCTTTGTCAGTAAATTTGTTTAAACTTCAAAAGGGAAAATGTAAAACCCCAAGTAGCTATTTTAATTTTAGTGCTGGATCATTGACTACATACATTGTGTTAGTTGATAGAACCATCAAGTAGGAAAGTATAATAAAAATATCATAAATTAAAAGTAGCCCAATTCACCCCAGAAAGTGGAATAACCTGGATATTAATGTTGTAATTGTTGAAATATTTAGAATTTGTTGGACATCACAAATAGGATTTATACCCTAAACTTGCCCCATTCTGCCATTATGATAAACATAAAATATTGTTTGCATAGGACGATGAATCTGGTGCATATTTGCAAACAGAACAGATGCATACAAACAGAACTAGTATATCTCATATCTGTTGGTTAAAATCATATTTATTATACACACTTAGTAATTAGTGTTATATGATCCTAATAGATACGTCAAAACTCTAGTTTGTCAAGTCATTCCTCTTCTTTGAGATTTATAAACAGCAGACCAGAATTTTTGGAATTATTAATTCATTTTTACTTTGAGACATTCCAAATAGAAAGACCGAGCAACTTCTACTCTTAAGTAATACAAGGCAAGGGAAGTCAGTGTTTCAGATAGGTATTTCAGACTTTAATATTATAATAAATCAAAATACTATTATGTATATAATAAATAGGGTATAATAGCAATGTCTAGTGTCAGAGGCAGAGTGTGGGGCAATCTGAAGAAAGGAATTCCTTGTTTATTTTGTGTGTATATTATTTTTTACCTGCTCAACAGTTAGCAATAAGTATGTTTTAGAATATGTTCTCTTGTTATAATACCAAGTACTTCCCTGCAATAGTGGAAATCGCAACTACCAAATACAGTGAGCATTGTACTTTAGAAGAACATATTTACAAGTACTTAAAACCTTAAAATAGTTATTATAATTTTTCCACGTTTCAAGGTACTTTACAATATTTATTTGTTTATTTATTATAATAGCCATTTAAAACAGTATTTTTATTGCAGTTTTGAGGCTACACCATACATATTACATAAACTTTACGTTATTATGTGCCGTTCCACGTGTGTTTTAGCTTTATTTATAAGTTAACTATTTATTTGTGCATAAGCATATTTTTATACCAATTAACATACTTTAGTGTTCATTAGGTAGTTTATTAGTTGTACTTTGAACTTACTTTAACTAAACATGATATTTATTGATTTTGGCAGTTTAATTTTTTTAATTGTTCTATTGATAACGGAGGCCTATAAATTAAAATAAATAGATTTAGATACTTTGAATGTAATGTTGATATTACACCAGGACCAGAGTATTTAAATTTATTTGTCCTTGCCAATTAAGAGAATAAAATTATGAAAACAAATAAATAATCTAGGAACTTTATTTTGTACTAAAACTTACTAGGCCACTAATTCCAACAAAAATTTGAAATGTCCTAAATTGATCTGCCTAAAATAAAATCCATACCTTTTTTCAGTTGCTTTAGGGACAAAGTTTCCTTGTAAGATTGGTAAATGAAACAAAACAATTAATTGTAACACAAGGCTTCCTCAATTACAACTAATCATAATCCTGGTTAGTTAATTATGTTTGTTTGATTTTTTTTATGATTTACTTTTTATCTTTATTACTCTGCCAAATATTCAATATACCTGAAATATTGAAATATAAAAATATTTTATAAACAATAATTGTTTAGTTATTAAACTTAATTAATTTCATATCTCAGATTGAAATTTAATCTTAATGAGGTGTCTTCAGACTTTTTGATTTCATATAAGTTTTTTTTTTTTTTTTTGTGTTTGTTTTGCTAAAATTATAAACAAAACAAAATTAAGGAGCATCCTATGTTGAATTGCTTAATCAAGTTAAAAGTCAAAACATTAAATACAAATAATAATTAGATGTTAGTTTTTCAGTGAATAAAAATATTTATAGCTCTGTCTCCCAGATATTCATTATATTTACCTATATAAGATTTAGTGACATTTTTTACCAAATTTTCTCTTATAACAAATAAGAATTGTGTGATGTTTCTTCACTTGTTCAATAATTATGTAAACAATGCAAGCTATTGGCACAGAGGATATGTTAGTGTTTTTGTGAAATACTTCATACCTTTATTCTACACAGTTGTATGTACAATCTGGGAACGTATCTCACCACTGCCAAACATAGATTTATTGTTGCTACATTAAATTATTGTGTTGAGAAAATAGCGGGCATAACTCAATTTAAAGACATATTTTGTTCAGGTAAAATTAAGAGAAGAGAAACCCTTTTTAGATTTACTTTATTTTCACGGAAGTGTCTTTAGATGTTAGACACTATTCCTAGTGGTACTTTCCTATTTTAGAAATGTAACAAATAAGTTACCATTTAGATTTAGAAAATATTTCTAAAATATAACTTAATAGTTAACAGCTCCGATTGAAAATACTCATTTTGGTCATTGTGCTGATTTGTCTATTAATTTACGAATGAAAAGTATCTCGATTGTCTATATATTTCCATAGGTCAAGGTTCGTCTAAAACAATATCAGAGTGTACTATCCCCCCCCCCCCCCCCAATTACCAATATAAATGTACGAGGTTAAAATTTTACAATGTTTTAAATAGGAAACTATCAGTTGTCAAATTAATATAATTTACTGAAACACTACTCAACGTTTATTTAAGTCAACACCTTAATTTAAGTCAGCACCTTAACACCTAAGTTGTAGATTAGGGCCTACCTCATTTAAGTTCCAGCTTTGTATATCTTAGTGTACATCTTTTGTTGTTATCAGTTGGCAGATATCACAAGCAGATCCAGTTATATGTTTGATTTTTGGACTAATCTGTGATATCGGATCTGTTTCCAGGCACAATGCTGAAGCAAGCTATTTAGCTTCCACTTATCATGTAAAGTAAAATATACAAAAGCGAGGGTTATTTTAAGGGAGTTTCGTTTGTAAATGTAGAGTTTTTTTGTAATTTTATGAAGTCAAAATGATTCGAATAGTTAAATATTGAATGTATTTATTACTTGTAAAATATGTTTTTAAATGTAAACGGCCCTCTGAGAGCGCCGGGATAATAAGTCTACGAATTGTTTAAATAAATCTTTTTAAGATGGAGAAATGGTGAGGTATTTTTAGTCCGAAGATCTCTCAGGTTAAAGTGAAGTGGAGTAGGCTGTGTAGCCGTCTGGCTGTTAGAGATTGTTCAGACTTGTATACTTTGATTTTAATAAAACAATGTACTTTAACTTAATTGTTTTCTTGTGTTGTATGTCTTTGAAAATACCACTGCCAAATACAGACCAATAGGTAGACTCTGTAGTTTTTATTTGATTCATTTCGCAAAGGTGATTTATAAGTGTTACCGCATGTAAAACTGTGATAAAGGAGGTGTATTTGTAACGGATACAGTTATGAAACACCAAAGATCTGAATAGTTACAGAACATTACACAACTGCAGCTCTTTTTGTTAGAGTCAATGCCAGTAATACGCTTGAAAAGAAAAGCGGTTCGAACCTCTCAAATTTTTTAGATATTAGGCTAAACACAGTTTAAAAAAATTATAATTTTGTGTTGTATACACTTGAAGATTGAATAGTTCTCCATCACCTCATGCCAACCACGTCAACAACGGCAATGAACACACACTGACCAAACCTCATCCTTACTTGTAATAAGACCCAATAAACATGCCCTAACTAATAGCTACGACAGGTAGCTCTCTTGTATACCTTGCCCTTGCTTCATACTCGTCAAAGTTCCTAGCTAATCTTAGACTGAAGGGGACCAAGATACTCCTCTTCAGGTTGTGTACAACAGCTTCAGTGGGCTCATCACTCATTGAAATTTAACAATCAATTAGTTTAACCCCCAAAATTTCACAAAGCTCACAAGAAATGCAAGGACATTTGTGCCCTCAATCAAGTTTTATAACTCATACAATCTTATGGATTGAAGCATGATAGGGGTTTTTTCTCAATTGTAAACCACCATTTGGCTGATGATTGTTGCTTCGATCAATTTTGACAAAAATTTCACAATATGACATTTGATTTTTTTTCGCTGATTGTAATGGTTTCAATTATCGAACACGTCTGTTTTCGCAGGAGTAGGGCCTATACATTATCTGCTGTCGATGTTTACAAATAATTCTGAGTATCACTTAAACTTATAAGCAAAATCATAAAAGTGTATCTTATTTTTCTTTAATTGCATACTTTACATTACAGAGTTCTTATTATTTCAGCGATCAAATTTCTATGGTTTGTAATAAAAATATTTTTTCATAAATTATAAAATACATCTAACATTCAAGTCTTTACTTGACATTCACGAGAATGTCTTTTATAATGTCGATTAGACCCAACTAACCACAACCGAGCAGGGCTATCGGTCCCCCGGTCGGTACAGTATTGTAATCAACGAGCACAATATGACATTTGATTTTTTTTTTGCTGATTGTAATGGTTTCAATTATCGAACACATCTGTTTTCGCAGGAGTAGGGCCTATACAGGATAGAAAGAAAAGGTTGTTTTCAATTTGCTAAAAGTTAAAACCAGTTACATTTTACCTCAATGCATTATGCAATCATTCCTAAAAAATTTAACTCAATAATTCCATGGCGGACATGAGCCTACAGAATTATTAAAAACCACTACAGTATTATTCTACCATTAGCTTCTAAAAATTAGCAGGTATACTGATGAAAATTTATGGGAAAACAGTTTCTAAATTTTGAACTATATCTTAATTATTTAAATAAGTAAAAAAAAAAACGTTGCAAGGGCAACGGGTCACATCGAAATGATAACACAAATTAAATATATTTTGTTATAATCTTAGTTACGTTACGAATAAGGAAAGTGGGCCCTATTATTGGCGATTTTGGGGTGGGTTGCCTACTTCCCATTTCTACAAGGACGGGCGCGCATTGTTCCCTCTGTGACCTCAATACACAGTCCATTCTTAGAATAACGTTAGGAGCCTTGGCAGGAAATGTCTTGAGGGTTTCTCCCAGATTCCGTGAATCCGATAAATTAATCGTGCTCTGCCAATCACGAAATCCCTCCAAGTTTGAAAAGTCTTTGTAACAATAATAGTGGATTTTCAATTTACTTGTACTGTATATAAGGAATAATTAAGAGAGTTATTGAAAAAAGCAGCGCTTATTTCTCCTTTACTTTTCAGTGGTGAAACTAAAAAAAAATATGTCCCATTACTTATTATAAAATTACCCAGACAGCACAAGGATATTTTATAAATATTTTTAAAATACATATCCATCTTAAAAATATTTTATATATTTTAATATTATTTTTCAAATATATTTTTTTTAATTTTTGAATAATATTTTAATATTATTTTTCAAATATATTTTTTTAATTTTTGAATAATATTTTAACATAGTAAATTTAAAATAATTTTTAAACTATTTTTTAATGGTGTTAAAAATATATTTTGTAAATATATTCAATTTTTCGGTTGAATATATTTACAAAATATTTTTAATATATTAAGACAAAATAATTTAGTTTTTTATGTAAAAGATATTTATAAAATATTTTATATACCATAAAAAATAGCTTTTAAACATATTTTTATAGAATTGTAACTGTAAAAATATTTTTTTTAACACTTTTTAACACCCTTTATAAAGAATATTATAGAAATATTTTACAAATAGCCTGTTTTTAAGTTTTAAAATATATTTTGGTAATTTGTTTCA